GGAGATGCATCTCTGTAATTTGGAAAACTAAAACATAAAAAAATTTCGGAGATGCATCTCCGAAATTTTCTACAATTCTGCAATTGCGTCAATGGCGATGTACCCATGCAATCTAAAAAAAAGTTTTAATCATCCTTTTCAGCCAATAAATGTGTAATACACTATGTATAAACTATCATACATGCAATTTCTACTCATTTCTAACTCTAATAATCACTTTCTACTCATTTACACAAAAACTCAAAACTAAAAGAAGTTACAAATTTCAACTTTTCTTCAGAGTTGGATAATGTTTCTGATGTTGATTAAAGTTCCATTGTACTTTGTTGATTGATTTTTAACTTTGTGATGAATTTTTTTTTTGAGAGAGTTTGAATTGGTTTAGAGAAAAATGAGAAATGAGGAAGGAGAAGGGTCTAACGTGATTTAACCTCCAAAATATTCTAGAGATACATCTCCGAAATATTTTAACGTTAACTAAGCCTTGGGTGCGTCCGAAGATGCATCTTTTGAGTCTGTGGGCATTTATGTATTTTCACGTAGTGGCTAAGAAATATAAATGGTGCACTAAGAAACCCTCTCTATTAAAATTAAATATCAACAAACTTCTTAATATATCATTTTCTTTTAAAAAAATTGTACTAGTCAAATGACATATTTGTGATTAGCAAATGCTAAAAAAATTGAAATTACCTCATTTTACCACCTCAATCATTTTCCACTTTTTACTTTTAAATTTTTCATTTTTCATTTTCTTCTCTTAATTCAAATTTTAAATTTCCCTCACATTTATTTTTCCCACACTTTCTCTCTTTCATTTTAATTTTTCTATCCATATTCTTTTTTCTATTTTATATTTTTAAGTATAAATAACAATATTTGAATCTCTTTATAATTTAATGAAGAAGAACACATAAAAATGTTGATTTTTTAAAACAAAAAAATTTAATCTCAAAATGAAAACATAATTATTAAAAAATTACTTATATCTTATATGATTATTGTTCATTTTATATGGTATCAAATTAGATAACACTCAATAGCGATACACACAACTGATTTTCCATTTCGCGGATCATTATCAACGACAAACCAAACAACATACAACTCTATATAGCAATAAAGTCCTAAAATCATACAATGCTAGAAAGAAACAAAAAACTTATGAACATCCAAACTACACTGAAATTTAAAAGAGAGCGACAAAGATAATTGTGCAGCACTATATACATTGCGTCCTCACTTGCACCTAGTCAAATGTTCAATAGAGAACCATTGGGAAATCGTTAGTCTTCCACTAAATTGAGAATCACAAGTGCTTTTTTTTGTTACAACAAATTATCACAAAAAAGAAACTTAGATTTTGCACCTTTGATTTGATTCATGATATGAGTAATGTGATTTAAGTCAATAAAGTATTTGATTCGATTCACATTACTTGAAATGAATCCCAAAATAAGAACTTCAACCATGATTTGAATCAGGTTGTGATGTGATTCAATCATGTTCTTCCATGACTCGAATTAAGAGATACTGTGATTCAAATCAAATTTTCTTAGACAATTTATGATTTTCTCAAATGTTTATGATTCAAGTCACCCAATTCATTGATTTGAATCATGATTGCAAAATTGTAATTTTGAGAAACTAAAATGATCACAACTGAATTAAGAATTTTTTTGACTTGAACCATGCTCATGTGAGTTTCTTGATTCAAGTTTTAGACATATTGACTTGAATCATTTTGCATTGACTTTAGGTCAAAAATTTTGTTTTATACATGCAAAAATACGTTTTAATAAAAATGCTCAAATCTAATAGGTGTGCATAGACCTAATGGTGAGGAGACTCAATTACTAAAACGATCAAAATAAATAAGCATACATATGACAATCAGCAAAACCCTAGGATCTATTTCACTCACCAAGACATGAATGTCCTCAACCATAGCAGGGAACAAAGTGTCCCTAACAAGACCGAGATGATGATGGTTGCAACGGTAGCAGTAATGGCGTTGTGTTGAGTAAGTGATTGAGTAGCTTTCGGTGTAGCCATCGTTTCACGAGTTAGATCAGTGATTCGTGCGAAGAGAATAAGAGACCAGAGCTTGCAGAATTACAGTGAAAATATGGTGATTTCTCGTGGAGTTTTGCGAGAATAAGATTTCGTTTCCCACAAACGATGCCACCGTTCTCTTCAGAAACTAGAAATAGTTGATGACAGTGTATGATATAACTCAAATGCGGTGGAACGTGCAAGGTTTACCCTCCAACATTCAAGTCAATGAATGAATGAAAAGTAGTTTAAGTGTAGGAATGAGTGAAATACACAAGTTTTGGAGCTAGATGAGCTTTATATAAGGAGAGCGTTAAAACCACTTTCGCTTAATTTAACATCTTGTGCGAATCATCTTCCGATTAGATCTGACAGCAAAAAGTAGATAAAATGTCAAAATTATATACCTAAAGCTTCAATATTATCGTATCTATTCTTCACGCTTTTGTTCGTAGTACTTGCTATTCAACCTTAAAATATATACTTCTGGACAATCCAAAAGAATTTCCTTGTTAAAAATGTCATTTGTGACAATATATATAATAAAATAAAATAAAAACTTTAGATTTATTATCACGATACACTAAAATAATTCCACATTTTAAAATAAAAATTAAATATAGTTTTTATATATCACCCACATTTTTCAATCCAATTAAATACTTTTTAAAAAGACAAAATACTTCTCACATCAACAAATATATGTAATACAATTTTTTTCTTATAAATAACTACTAACTATTTTTCATTTACAATTTACCTAAGATAATTTTTGTTGATAGAAAACATTTGAGAGAATTACTGTTTCTCAATTATTTTTAACCCATAAAATCAATACTAATTACCTCGACACAATCCTAGTATCTAACAACACTCAAACAAAGTAAGATTAGAACAAAATAGTTATCTAATCCAACTTTGTATTATTAAACCAAAAAGAAACAGTTACATCCAGGTTGTTTGATTTTGTTTTGTTTTGAAAAACATTTCCTCATTTCCTGTCCATCAAAAAAACCTCTTGATTTTTTGTTTTCAGGTTGAGCTGTCCCCTGCTCCAATATAAAGTTATAAACAGCTGTTTGTTTTTTTCACACCGCACAACAAGTGTGTGTGAGAAACTCCTAGTACAACAACAACAACAATCCATAAGGTCTACACTACCCTAGTGTACTACCACTCTTCTACTCCTATCAACAATACCCTTCCACAATTTTATCTTTTATCACTCTTTCTTGCAAATGCTCACAATGCTATTTTTCTAGCACATTTACTTCATTCTCTCTGTAAGTGTTTTTTTTTCTTCTTCTATTCAATATCATTTATCATGTTTAACTTTAACCCTTTTGTGATTTATTATAAAAGGAAACAAAAGGAATGGTTTTATGTTTGTTAAGGTTGTGTTTTTCCTGATTTAGCTTACAGAAAAGCCTCGACCTTTGTGTTGATCTGTTAAGAATAGCTATTTTTGTTGTTTATTCTCAACCCATTTATGGTTTTTTTTTAATCTTTTTTTTTTTTTGTTGTGAGATTGTTGACAAAGAAAACCAGTGAACAAATGGGTGTATGTGTTGTACACTGCAGCATTTCCAATACCCATTTTTGTTTGCGATATAAAGATGATAACTTGAAATGATAATGACAATGACATGGTGGTTTTCTTTTTTGGGTTGTTTTTTATTTATGTGACTGTGTTGATTCCTATTAACTACAGTGATGATTATGAGTACTATTTTTGTTCATGTGTTATAGCTTTATACTGTTATTATTATTTCCTTTTATGTTTGCAACATTTTTATTTAAGCTTTCATAATGATTTTTGGATTAGCCCATGAAAAAAAATTGTTTTTTTTTTCTGGGATTTTTTGGGTTTATCAGATTCTTTGGAAGTTAGCATAGCTGAGCCTGAGAATGCTTGTGATAAATTTGTGGTTTTTTAGGGTAAAATGGGACCAAGGCTTTTCCTAAGGAAAGAGACTCACATTTAAGATGTAGAATAGGGTGGTTTCTTTCTTAGATTTGAGCATTAATGAGGATGCTTTTTCAGGTTTAGATTGAATGGTTTCTGGCATTTATGAGTGGGAGGTTTGGTGGTTGGACTTTTATATCTGTGTTGTTGAAGTTCAAATATGTGAACAAGTTAGTATCATTTTTGGGTGGTTGTTGTTGTAGGGTCTCATTCAATGACCTATTCCTGACATTGATGTGATAAATGTTAATTATTGGAATTGGAATCTAAAGGTTTCCCATGTTGAAAGTGAAGTTTAGGTAGTTCATGTTTCATCATGGTTCAAACTTTAAAGTGTGTCTTTTGATAAAATTCACTACACTTACTTTTACAACAATAAATATTAACTTCATGTTATAATCGATTCTTGAGTCAGAATCAATTTTACTTGAGAGCAATCAAACATGTCAATTTTGACCGATATAAACGTGGAACCATATAGAGTATAAGCTAACTTATAGTACTATAGCTGTAGTGGGGACTAGTTATATTAGCCTCAGAGATCTTACAGGTTTCAATACCAAAATCAGCAATCTAGCTGTGTCGGTGAAGTCATGGATAGGAGTTGTTTAACACTGTGGAGTCCACAAGTTTTTTGGATTTCTGTAGTTAGCTCGTTTGTTTTGGTAATTGTACTCGAGATAAGAGTTCTACCAGGGCCATCTCAGGCTTGGAAATTAACTTCGGTAAATAATATGATCAAATAGTTTAGACCGGTTGGTTTCTATTTGCTAAGCATTTTTTTCTTCTGCTGTCAAGATATTTTCTTTGCGTGTTTCAGTTTTTCGGTTTGCTTCTGCATAGATGCTAGCATGAAATGCAACCTATCCATGTTTTCCTTTATGATTCTTTTTTTAGTGATTGATGTTCTGAATTTAAACAGATATAGTATTTTGCAGATTACTGTGAGCATTTGTATATGAATTTGTGAGACGTTATCATGGAGTGGAATGCGAAATCTCTGGGGCAATGGGACTGGGAAAACTTATTCTTCGTGAATTCAAAACCAGCAGAAAATCACAAGTCTCAATCTACTGATTGGAGTGCGGAGACAGATCGCGAAACCAATGTTGGAATGTTGTTTCCATCAGGTGGTAGTGGCTATTCCGCGTCTAAACTGCTACAAGTGTCGTCCTCGAGGAGCTCAAAATCTGCTTCCAATAATTCATCGTCAAACGGGGAGAGCAAGACATCTATGTCAACTCGGGAAGGTTCTCAAGACGATTCCACCGATAAGAAAGAATTGTCTAAAGGAGATCCAATTGAAACTTCTCCAGCAGCAGAGCCATTGCTCACTCTAAAGCTCGGTAAAAGATTCTACTTTGAGGATGTTACCCCTGGAAGCAATTCCAAGAAAGCCTCTTCCTCCACGGTTCCCGCGGCTCCTCCAAGCGGAAAGAAAAGTAAAATGGGTAGTCAGAACATGCTACATTGCTGCCAGGTGGAAGGTTGTGGCTTCGACCTCTCTTCTGCTAAAGATTACCATCGAAAACATAGAGTTTGTGAAACTCATTCCAAATCCCCTAAGGTGGTTATAGCTGGTTTGGAGCGTCGATTTTGCCAGCAATGTAGCAGGTAAACGCGATTCACTTCACATCACATTCATCTTTCTGTCTTTCTGATTTGTTTTGAACAGATTAATTAACAATTTTCACTTAACTATGGTTTTGAAGGTTTCATTCTCTATCGGAGTTTGACGAGAAAAAAAGAAGCTGCAGACGTCGTCTCTCAGATCACAATGCAAGACGCCGCAAACCTCAGCCTGGAGCAATGCAACTGAATCCATCACCTCTTTCTTCATCACCCTATGGTATAAATCACAACAGTATGCACATTCATCTATATGATAATATCATAACAATAAATCATTACATAACCGTGTATCGAATTTATTTCATTCTGTAGATCAAAGACAGACAATGGGCCCGTTTGTTTTTCCGAGAAACACAAATTTAGCATGGCAAGACATGCATCACATCAAACTCCCGGAAACACAAGATTTTATGCTGAAACCTCCAAAAGCCTTTAACAAGATTGTCACTATGCTTTCTGATGATTCCAAAGGCATAGGATCCAGGAGTACATTTCCAGGTTGTTCTCTCTTACTTCAAAATCGAGCCACGAGACCGAGACCGTATTTCATTAATTCCTAGTTAAGTTGTAGAAATATAGTTTTTCACATTGTTGGAATATGTTACAGGTACAGAAGATCCAACTCCCTTGTCTGATCCAAATGCTACGCAAGATGTTAACCGTGCTCTCTCTCTTCTGTCAACCAATTCATGGGGTGCATACGATACCAAGTCCCTCTCTTTAGAACACTCGAATCGGCCAAACGGGGCAACTCATTCCGTAGCACATGCAACTGCTAACCGCTCGCCTTTTCCTTCATTGGAATACTGGCACACTGATCTGCAGCAGGCGAACTCCAGCGGCTGTATCTCGTTTTCAGGTTACGAAAATAGCAATCGCTTTCAAGACTTTCAGCTGTTCAGCGCATCGTTCGAGTCGAGTTTCCCTTGCAACCAGCTGGATTAATGAGTATGGTTATTCATTTGAATGGTCATAACCCATTATGACTGATTATGATCTTTTGCTATGTTTTCTGTTTGTAAGAGTAGTAATCAGAAAACTTGTTTGTATGCTGATTGATAACTCCATTTAATCCTGAGTGAGACTTTATTCACTCTAAACCATGAATGTTTTCCATGAGAATTTCTAAATCAAACTAGAGTATAACACAGTTTGATGATTGTATAATTGTTGCTTACTTATATGTCAGTCTCATGCTTGATGAGTGTTAGAGTTTGATGAGGATGAACATGGAGGTTCATCTTGTAACAGAATTCTGTTAGGGTTGAGAGAAAGAAGAAGAGAGTGAGAGAAAAAGAGAGGGAAAATATGATATGAATTATATTATTGAAGATGTATGATATACACTATGAGGTATCCTATATATACCCAATCTATACATTTGATTTACATTGAGTATTTCTAATATCCCCCCTCAAACTCATGGTGAGGTCTTTCAAGCTAGTCACCTTGAGTTTGTGTCTGAGATGCTGAAAAGGTCCAGTCCCAAGAGGTTTTGTGAGTGTGTCAGCTATTTGTACCGACGCCGGAACATGATGCACACGAAGTTGGCCAGCTACAACTCGTTCACGCACAAAGTGTATATCAAGCTCAATATGCTTGGTGCGAGCATGAAGAACCGGATTATGAGAAAGCAAAACCGCACTTAAGTTGTCACACATGAGGATAGGGGTGTGATAAGTGATATTGAGTTCAGACAATAGAGATTTCAGCCATAGCAGTTCCGAAGTTGTATTAGCTAAGGCGCGATATTCAGCCTCCGTGCTGGATCTAGCAACAAGGGCCTGCTTCTTTGAACTCCATGAAATGAGATTAGGACCAAAAAATATACACGAGCCAGACGTGGACCGCCTATCATCCGGGTCACTGGCCCAATCAGAATCGCTATAGGCACACAGCGACATTTTTGAAGCTGTAGCCGACGGAGATAAATGTAGACCATGAGAGATAGTGCCACTGAGGTACCGAAGAATGCGTCTAACCGCAGACCAATGCGTATCAAGAGGATCAGACATGAATTGACAAGCTTTATTGACACTATATGCAATGTCTGGCCTGGTTAACGTGACATACTGTAATGCCCCTACGATGGACCTGTAGAAGGACGAATCTGCCAGCTTTGAGGCGCCATGTCTGCTGAGTTTGCAGTTGGTCATCATGGGAGTTGGAACTCCATTGGCATTGGCCATGTTTGCTCGAGACAGTAAATCTTTGATATACTTTGATTGTGTCAGGAGCATGGAGCCATCTGATTGCAAGTTCACTTCAATGCCAAGAAAGTATTTCGGTGTGCCAAGCTTTTTCAACGCAAAAGCAGTGTGCAGTTGATGAATTAAAGTGTGAATAAGTTTGGAATCAGATCCTGTGATTAGTATATCATCAACATAAACTAGAGCATACAAGACAGTACCTTTAGAGTGATAGAGAAACAAGGAGTTGTCACACTTGGATGTGGTAAACCCAAACTGAATCAGAGCTTGTGCTAGTTTCGCATACCAGGCCCGTGGAGCCTGTTTGAGACCATATATTGCTTTGTGAAGCTTGCATACAAGACTCTTATCATCTGTCACAAAACCTGGAGGTTGAGTCATATAAACTTCATCAGTCAATGTACCATTAAGAAAAGCATTGTTTACATCAATCTGGGGAATATCCCAGGTGTAGGTAAGCGCCAAGGTAAGAATAACTCTGATAGTTGTTGGTTTAACAACCGGAGAAAATGTTTCAGTGTAGTCAAACCCATGTTCTTGATGAAATCCCTTAGCTACTAGTCTAGCTTTGTATTTATTAATAGATCCATCAGCATTTTCCTTGATCTTGAACACCCATTTACAGCCCACAGCTTTTCTGTCAGGGGGTAATGTGGTGAGAGTCCATGTGTGGTTTGACTGCAAGGCATCAAACTCAGACTTCATAGCAGCATGCCAAGAGGGATGAGATAAGGTCTGTTTTACAGTTGTTGGTTCAGCTTCAGTATGTGCAAGCAAGGCTTTAGGTTTAGATTTCCCAGTTTTTGCTCGAGTCAGCATTGAGTGGTCATTAACCAAGAGTGCAGGTGGAGTTCTGTGACTGGGAATGGATGGAGAGTAAGAAGACTCAGATGTGGAACTAGAAATAGTATTAGCTTCAGAACTTGGAGCAGATTCTGTCTCTGAGTTAGAGAATTGGTTATTGAATTCTGGGGACATGTGAGCAGTATTGTCACAAGCTGTAGACTGCCCTGCTGCAGATTTACTAGGTGAAGTGTCCTCTTGAGATATGATAGGATGAGAATTACTTACAACATTATCGTGAATAGCCTGTAGGGGAGTAGATGTTGGCTGAGAGTTTGGGGCCAGGATTGATTGATTAGACAGCTCAGGCATTGGGACTGCCACAGGGTCTAGGGGACTAGTGATGGGTTGGGTATTAGATTGTAAAGAGATGCCAGCTGTGACCTTTGGGGTTGTGATAGCTGTGCTGGTAGGTAAGGCTGTTGGACAAGCAATTGGCTGGTGTGTTAAAATCTGACCTGCTGTAGTGTCTGACTTAAACAGCTGAGGAAAGGGAAAGTGTTGCTCATGGAAAGTGACATCCTTTGAAATGTAAATTCTGCCAGAACTACTCAAGCATTTGAAACCTCTATGTTGAGGAGAAACTCCAAGATATACACATTCCTGACTTCTAAGTTGCAATTTGTGTTGATTATATGGTCGCAGGAGAGGGTAGCAGGCACAACCGAATACTCTAAGATTTTTGTAGTCAGGATGCTTGCCATACAAAGCATGGAAAGGTGGATGGTGTGTAGTCAATGGAGATGTTGGCAGCCTATTCATGAGGTAGACAGCAGTAGTAAAACTGTGATCCCAATATGTGAGTGGCATGGATGCATGAGCAAGCAGTGCCAATCCCATCTCAACAATTGTTCTATGTTTTCTCTCAACAGAGCCATTTTGATGAGAGGTGTGAGGACAAGTTATTCTGTGTGTAATTCCAAGATCCTGCAGATACTTTGTAAAAGATCTAAATTCACCACCAAAGTCAGATTGAACAGATTTAATTGTTAGACCAAACTGAGTTTGAACAAATTTGTGAAACAATTGGAATGCATTTAGTGCTTCAGATTTTTGTTTAAGGAAGTACAGCCAGGTATACCTGGTGTGAGCATCCACAAATGCAATGTAATAGTTAAAACCAACACTAGAAGTAGAAGAGGCAGACCCCCAAAGATCAGTATATATCACATCAAAAGCCTTGTTATATACATGATGAGTCAAAGGAGAATGAAGCCTATGAGCTTTACCAAGATTACAAGATTTGCAAAAACTACTTTGTTTATTTGAACAAGGAATTTTACACAGTTTGAGTATCTTAACAATAGATGAAGGATGAGCATGCCCTAATCTATGATGCCACAACACACTATTATTACAAGTATTAGATGTGAAACTCTTTGGCTGACAGGAGGACTGAACTGCAGTGTAACCTTGGACATGCCCGGATTTATTCAATGTGGTATGCCAACTGTGTGACTTTGAGGACTCCTAATGCAGATGAGGAAAACAATAGAGACCACTAGCATCAAGACTTCCTTCAACCAGAACTTGTCTAGAATCCTGAGATTTAATGTAACACTTGTTAGACAGGAATTCAAAGATAACATGATTATCATGTGAAAATTTGGAAACAGATAGAAGATTCCTAGTGATAGCTGGTACATAAAGGATGTCATTCAACATCATTCTGCACTTAGGCACTAATGAGGAGCAGAATTGTGTGCAACCTATAGAATTAATAGTGAGTGTGTGGCCATTTCCAACATAAACTTTATCAGTACCTGTGTATGCCTTAGAGTTCTGTAAGTTAAGTGCATAGGGAGTAAGATGATGAGAAGCACCTGAGTCCACAAACCATGCTTGAGAATCAAGTTCTGCAGGGAGGTTGTATTGCTGTGTTGTGCCAATAGATTTGCTTGCAGCTGCCATCATTGCTACAGCCTGTGGATTCTGAGATTTGTCCTTGGACTGCTCATGACTGGATTGAGTGTTGTTTTCTGTCTTGTCCTGAGATTCATTAGAATTCGGAGGCATAAAGTTTTCATCAAATCTATGCCAGCATGAGGATACAGAGTGACCATATTTGCCACAGAGTTGGCAAGTAGGTCTATGATTGCTAGCTGCCCTTGCTCTGCCCCTGCCTCTTCCTCTGGAAAGTCTGGTGTTCCTCCCATTGTTGTGTGTGTAATTGTTCTGGGGGCGCGAATTGCCATGACCTGTGAGAGCTACATTTGCAGTAATATTAGAGGATGCTAGTTCTTGTCGAAACTTCTCCAGTTGAGCCTCTTGAACATATAACAAAGCTTCTACATCACATAGGGAAGGTGGGATTGGTGTACCATACATCTGCATCACAAACGGATTGAACTCCTCAGGGAGGCCATCAAGAATCGCATCAACCTGATATTGTTCAGTTATATTATCACCTACAGCCAAAAGAGAGTTGGCAATGGCTTTGATTCTAAGCACAAACTCTGTGATTGTGCTAGTTCCTTTCTTGGTAGACTTGAGTTCAACTCTTAGTTGTCTAACCCTAGCTTTCATTTGAGCAGTGAAGTATTGGTGAATTTTGTCCCAAACCTCATATGCGTGTTTACACGCAAGAACACGAGGGAGAATCGACTCTGAGATAGTCGAAAGCAGCCAAATAAACACAGCCTGATCTTGGACTAACCATGTTTCATATTCTGCAGAAATCGTACCTGAAATACGATCTTGAGTAGTAGCAAATTTTGGTGGAATCAGCGGATTGACAACGATGCGATGCATTTTCTGAGTCAGAATAACACCTTCGACTTGTTGATTCCATAGAAGATAGTTGTTTTCTTGCAGCTGAATGGAGAGTTTCGGACCGAACTTGTTGCTTGATTTCAAGGATCCAAACCCTAAAATTCCTTCTTGCGACGGCAC